GAGATTTGTGCCCAGTTTGGTGTTGTGCCGACTTGTGCAGTGGGCTCAGTCTGCCCTGTCTCAGGCCAGACAGCCGCTTGGGGCTGCGGTGGCAGCTGCATTGAGCCTGCAGCAGGTGCACTGTGTGGCAGGCAGCTGGTCTTGTGGGTGGGGCCTGTGCCATCTGGTGCCAGGCTACTGGGGGCACTGTCTGGGTTGCAGGACCACAGCCTTGGGGTGACAGGCCATGTGTGCAGGCACTGGCCACCCCAGGTCAGTGTTCAGGGCCAGGGTGGGCGAGAGATTTGGTGGCCAGCCTGTGCCTGTTGCTGTGTTTTTAGAGGGGCCGTTTGTGCATGGGAATGCTCACCCTAATGGAGAAGAATGTGTTTCCCCTGCCTCGGTCACCTGTCATGAATCCTTCCTTCCCTGTGTCCTGTGGATCCAAAACACCTGCAGACCATTCTGAAGACCACATGTGGGGCAAGTGGGGTGGGCAAGGGGCTGATACACATAGGGATGCTGTTTTCTCTAGTGGCTACTCACCATTCCACCAGATCCCACACATCCACCCACCTTCCTCCTTGTTTCATGCGTGATCACATAGGGAGGCTGCATCAGAAGATGTGTGAGGACTGAGGAACACAGATGCTTCTTGACTTACAGTGAGGTTCTGATCCCATAAACCCATCAGACCTCATATCCAAAATTACATTGGATATACCCAACCTTTGATCACATATGCTTAGAGACTTTTGTGAGCCTGGAGTTGGGCACAAGCATCAACACGAAGCCCGTTTTGTAACAGAGTGCTGGCTGTCTCATGGAATTTCTGGAGTACTCGTATCACACTGCAGTGTTGGTTGTTTCCCCTGAGGATTGTTGGACTGACCAGGACCTGTGACTGCTGCCACCTAGCATCACAGAAAGGACTGTGCCATATCGCACTGGCCCAGGAAAAGATAAAAAAACAAAATTCAAAGTACAATTTCTCCTGGATTTGTTTTGCTTTCATACCATTGTAAAGTTGGACCCGTATAAATCAGTGATCATCTGCATATCTGTAGCCTGTATTTTTTGGTTTTGTTTGTCTTTGAGACAGATTCTTGCTATGTAGCTTCAGGCTAGCTTTGAACTCATAGTCCAGGTTAACTGTCTCCCTTCAATTCATGATCCTTCTGCCTTAGCCTCTTGAGTGCTAGGATCATAAGCATGTGCCACACACCCAGCTATAACCTGTATTTCTAGAGAGAAGTGGTAGATGTCTTAGTTCACTCAGGCTGAACCACAGGAATATTTTGCTCACAGTTCTGGAGGCTGGAAGTCCCAGGTTAAGGTGTAGCCAATTCCATGTCTGATGAGGCTACTTTCTGGTTCATAATGGCCCTTCTGCTGTGTCCTCACTTGGAAAAAGGAGCTGGTAACTCTCTAGAGTCCCTTTTATAAGGTCAGTAATCCTATTCATAAGACTCCACCTCTTGACTTCACCTCCCAAAGGCTCACCTTCTAATACCATCACCTTGGAGGAAGTTTCAACATAAGAATTTGAGGGAGACAAATATTTGTACCATATTGATGGGTTAATTTTCAAATTCTATAGCTATGTCAATCTGGAACAACAATGATCTCATCAAACATTTTAATTTTTGCTTATCTGGTAAGTGAAACAATATATTAGTATTGTTTCCATGGGAATTTCTTGCACTAAGGTTGAGCATCCTCTTATGCATTTTAAGAGTATTTATTTCCTTTGACTTGTATGTTTATATCCTTTGTTCATTTTCAATATTTTTTTAATTGTCTTTATTTTTAACTGATAACACAAAAACAAAAATTGTACATATTAGTGGATTAACATGGAATGTTTTGATATATGCATACATTATGTGATATTTAAATCGGAGTAAACATGTGTCCTCTATAAAAATTATCAGTTCTTCATGGTGAAGACATTTAAAATTTTTCTAGTTATGCAGTGCATTATAGTTATCTCAAATAATAATGCACAGCAGAACTTCTTCCTCTTTTTGGCTTTGTCTGTTTTTAACTGATTCCTATGGCTATTCATTTATAGGAACAAATATACATCCACAGCCATACTCATAAAGTTGGTTCTTGCTCTGGAATATAAGTTGCCGACAGTTTCCCCATTATATCATTTGTCTCCTAGTCTTTTAACTCTTGTACAAAGAGTTTTCAGACCTTTTAAATGGTCAAATGTATTAATTTTCCAGAACCTTCTGGCTGCAGTCACAGAGAAAGAAGCCTTCCCTATTATGAGGTTATCTTATGAACTCTCATCATTTTTTCCAGCAATTCTGTGGGTCATTTTTGCATTTGAGGTTTATGTCCTAGGAATCTTGGGCTCTGAATGGATGGTCCAACCCTTCTTCCTAGGTCTAAGGCCTCCTCCATCAAACTTCCCAAGCCACAGCCCTATTCTCATACCCTTGCATGTCATCACTTCAGTTTCACAACTGGCACCTGCCTTAGGATAGCAACCTCCTGGGTCTAGGAGCAGGTCCAACCATGGACAGATGGTGCAGGGACAGACTGGCCCAGGTGGGGACCCTATCCTCCTCATCTCCTCATTTTCAGGGTTTGGAGGGAACCCAAGGACCTGGAGGGAGCCCCTCTCTTCAGTCTCCTCATGGGTAGAGCATGGATTGGTGCTGTCTTGACACCTCTAGGCTGGCTGGGTGTCGGGGAATATCTTGGGGCTTGGTATTCTTCTTCCTCACCTGCCTGCCTTACCCCCTACCCCACTTCTTTCTTCCTTCTCTGCCTGTCTTCTGTTCCCTCCCCCTGTCCACAGCCCTAGTCTTACTTTGTATCTAGACACTAGGCCCCCAAGGACTTTGGCCAAAGTGGGGGAGTGAAAGGCTGGGACCTTTCTAGATCCTTTGTTCTGAGCACAACTGTGACATTCCTTTCTAGGGACAGAAGTCTCTACCATGTGAGCTGCCTTTGAATTTGGGGTGTGCCTCTACCTGCCTTTGTTTTTTTCTTTGCTGGGCAGCCATTGGGTCAGGTTCTCTAGCCTCCCTGAGGGCTCTAGTCTCTGAGGGCTTCTGAGGCTTGGAACCAACTGTGGGAGCTTAGCTGCTGGACAAGGTCTGGATATCTACAAAGTGGCCCTTGAAGCTCCTGGGGGAACCCTTTGCTGAGCTCCTTTTCTGAGTCTTCTTGAAACTTTGAGATGAAATCCTTACCCTTGATGGGGTTCAGGGATTCTGTGACTGAGCCCTGGCTTTGCCTACCCCATCAACTTTCTCCTAACCCAAGAGGCCTCTAACCCTCAGAGCACCCAGTTCCCAGATGCCTTCTTCCCTGAAGCCCTGCTTGTTCCCCTCTGTACCACCAAGGCCCTGTCTGCTCCTCTATGCACCCCGATGCCCTGCCTGCTCCTCTCCCTGCACCCCCGATGCCCTGCCTGATTCCTCTCTGCACCCTTGAGGCCCTGCCCACTCCCCTATGCACCCACATGGCCCTGCCTGACTCTGCTCTGTATCCCCAAGGTCCTGCCCACTTCCTTTTGCACACCTGAGGCTCTGCCTGACTCCCCTCTGCATCCCCTGTGCAGACTGCACGCTCATCAGTAGATGCCTTTATGGCTCCCTGCATGGGGCTGGGGTGAGGGTAGCCTTCAGTAGGAGGTACTACAGATCATTCCTAGGGGAGCCTGGGCATGTGGGATACCACTGCTGTGGGATGAGGGTGGGGGTGGATTGTTTCCAGTGATGCTCTTGATAGGGGACCTCTGATCCCCGCCCACACGCAGATGGATGCCTTTCCCTTTCCAGGGTCTGAGTATGGCGCAACATACATGTGCTTTAGGCCTGGACATTTAGTTTGTCCGTCTGGGAATGCGTGGCCTGTGATTTCAAGCACAAAGCAGGCAGAACTCAAGTTGTCAGTCCTGGAATGGAGCAGGGATGTGAGGGAGGGACATGACTGAGCCCACAGGCTGGGCGCTCAGGGCTTATGCATTGAGGCTGCTTGGGTCTTGGCTCCTGTGTGGGGTGGGCCATGCTATGCCAGGTGGGGATGTAAGAGGAGCCCCCTCAAAGGTCAACTCTTAGCGTGGTTGTGTTCCCCAGGCAGGGGGTCTTGATAGGGGGTGTTCAGTGAGTCACTATCTATGGAGGGAGGTAAAAGTCTGAGGAGTGAGGAGATAGGGATCAGGTAGGCCTGAACCCGGGAGAAGGGGTACATGGCTGGGAGGTGAGGACCATGAGACCCCTGGAGCTGTGAGGCTAGGGGTACAGCTTTCTGGGGCTTGTGTGAAGAGGAGGTTGCCTGGGGACTAACTTGCCCCCCTCTCCTATAAACAAAACATGGAGGCTTGATGGGGAGAAGCAGGAGCTGCTTGCCCCCATGACCTTGCCCTGAGGGGCTGTGTGCAGTGGAGGTTGCCCCTCCAGTGGCCAACCCTGCTGAGGTCCCATCTGCATAGGCTATAGCAGGGGGAGAGAGGAGTGAGTCAGGACTCCCTCTGAGGATCATAGCACCGTGGGAACTCCCAGCTGGTGAGAGCACAGGGGGTGGTCCCCAAGCTGGGGAGGAGGGCATTGTGGTAGACGTTCCTCAGGCAGAGAGCCTGGGGCCCAGGATCTGACCCTTTTTCCCTGCTGGTAGCCTAGGCACTTGGGAGGGGAGTTGGCAGTTGGGAGGGGGAGTTTTCATTCATCTAGGCTTGCATCAGCTGGACTCCCTACGGACAGGTTAGTAGCAAGGACACCATATGGCTGCTGGATACCGTGCCCTGGGGCAGCTCTGTGAGGACCATGGGTATGCATAGGGGTCCGGTGGCATCCAGTAGCAAGCAGAGCAGCAAGGTGGGTACGAGAGCCAGCAGGGTCAGTGATTCTTTCTGGGTTCCCTGGGCTCACATGACTCTTGTCTGGTAGCCATCACCCTCTCTGTCCCAGCCCTGTGTGCTGGTTCTGCTATCCCCAGGGAGCCAGCCCCCATAGCCCTCCTTCAGGGACTAGGGTTCATTCTCACCTCTCCATCCCCAGGCTGACAGGTAGTGAGCCCCTGACCATTCTCCCACTGACCCTGGAGCCCGAGGTGGCTGCCCAGGCGCACTACAAGGCCTGTGATCGCCTGAAGCTAGAACGCAAGCAACGTCGTATGTGCCGCCGGGACCCCGGCGTGGCTGAGACACTGGTGGAGGCCGTGAGCATGAGTGCACTTGAGTGCCAGTACCAGTTCCGTTTTGAGCGCTGGAACTGCACCCTGGATGGCCGTTACCGTGCTAGCCTGCTCAAACGAGGTGAGTGTCTTGGGGTCCTGCCAGACCTGGCCAAAGAGCCCCAGACTGCAGAGGCAGTCTGCAGGCCTTGGGCACATCCCTAATGCATCTCCCTCTGGGCTGGGTCCCAGGTGACCCCACACCCTGCCAGCCCCGTTGTAGGTGGGGTCTGAAGCGGGTGGCCCCTTTCTTCCTTCCAGCCCTGCCCCTTTGGCTCTACTCCTTCTGGCCCCACCTCCCATTCCTCCCAGTTGCAAAGATGATCTGGTGGCACAGGAGCATTTGACAGGGCTTGAGGCTGTCTCAACAGCTCTCTTTTCATGCCAGGTGTCTGAGGGCCAAGAGCCTCTGTCTGGAGGAAAAATCCTCCTCTATTCTCCATCTCTTCTCCTTCTTTCTATTTAGAAGAACAGGGTCTTGTGGGAGCTTCCCCACAGCCTTGTTTAAAAATTGGGGACTCGAGAGCTGGGGGTACAATTCATCCCCAGGGTGATAGAGCGTTTGCCAGCATGAGACTTGAGGTCTAAGGGAGGACCTGCCAAGGGTCCAGTGGTGGTGGTGAGGCTGGTAGATTGGAGACCTAAATGTGATCTCTTTTACACGAGGCTAGAGTCCCAGCCATAGTGGGTTCTGAATTCTCCCCACTCCCCAACCACCTCCTGCCCTCTGGGTGTCCACAGCAGCTTATGCAGTACAGTACCCCAACACCCTGCCCCCCAGACCAGGAAAGATACCAAGAGCTGTCATCTGGAATGCACTGCTGTGGTTTGGCTACAGTGCACATGAACTGAGAGCTCCTGGGCTGACTGCCTGGTGTCCAGCATTGCTGAACCCCCACCCTTACCCCAGGCTTCAAGGAGACCGCCTTCCTCTACGCCATCTCCTCGGCTGGCCTGACACACGCGCTAGCCAAGGCGTGCAGTGCAGGACGCATGGAGCGCTGCACGTGTGATGAAGCACCTGACCTGGAGAACCGAGAGGCCTGGCAGTGGGGTGGCTGTGGAGACAACCTCAAGTACAGCAGCAAGTTTGTCAAGGAATTCTTAGGCAGGCGGTCTAGCAAGGATCTGCGAGCCCGGGTGGACTTCCACAACAACCTCGTGGGTGTGAAGGCAAGCGGGGCGGGGTGGCACTGAGCGGGGTGGCACTGAGCAGGGTGGTGGAATACAGAGCAGATGGGTTGGGCACAGGGTAGGCCAACAGGACAGGTGGGAAAGTCAGAGTGGGTGGGTTGGGTTTGTGGTGGGTAGGTGAGGCTGGGCATGGAGTGAACTGGGCAGGTGGGTGAATGAGGAAGAGAGCAGCCTAAGAAGAGACAGAGGCCACCTCCGTTGCAGCCATGCAGTGCCAGCCAGGGCCCTGGAGTCCTGTTTCCCATAAGTTTTTACTTAGAGGAAGATAGGGTCACTAGTCATGAAGAGGGGCCCCTTGATGTACTAGGGAGGGTCCTCTGCCATTCCTCCTGGAGAGGAGAAGTCAGAGGCAGGCTTGTTGCTGGTCAGGGAGGAACTGGCTGGGTCTGGGCCCTTATGTATCTGTCCCTGGTTGGTCAAGGCCCCCTGGAGGGTCTCCCCAGGTGAGCAGTTGACCCCAGAGGTTGGTGACCTATATTCCACCTGCCAAGACTGCAGGCATTCTTATCACCAAAGACCTAAGTCAAGGGTAGCACAATATGGTAGAGGGGGGGTCCCAGGGAAGAACTAGGAATACAGAACCCATTTACCCTTGTCAGGGATGCCCAATTCTGTCTCCGTGGCCCTGTCTGTAGGCAGGACTCTATTCTGAGGGACACTGACTTATTAGGATAAAGGAATTCTTTAGCGTTCTCTCTCTCGCTCTCTCTCTCTCTCTCTCTCTCTCTTTTTTTTTTTTGCAGTACTGGGGTTTGAACTCAGGGCCTACATCTTGAGTCACTCCACCAGCCCTTTTTTTGTGATGGGTTTTTTTCAAGATAGGGTCTGTCTCATGAACTATTTGCCCGGACTGGCTTCAAACTGCGATCCTCCTGATCTCTGCATCCTGAGTAGCTAGGATTATAGGTGTGAGCCACCGGCACCCAGTTTCCTTAGCTCTGTAGTTGGCTCTTTTAGGGGCTTGTGGGATTCAGGCATAGCTGAGCCCTGGATGAATGTGGCCTTTTGGCTCTTCATGTCACTTGCAGCCTTGAAGCTTCTGGATCTATGCTGCTGTAAGGGAGCATTCGATCCCCTAACCCTGGCTCTGGACAAAGCCTCCATTGTCTCTTACCCCATCTCTAACAATCCAAACAACCAAACACTGGCCTGAGGCTCAGACTGGGTCTTAGAAGGGCAGGGCCAATGCCTTTACCAGGAGGTGAGGGGTATTTCTTCTTCCTACCTTTGCCTGTGCTGTGGATCTCCAGTCTAGGGAAGACAGTTAGGTGCAATTAAAGTCACTCCTGCCCTGAGCTCTTCCTCATTGAGGAGTTCTGAATCCCCGACTCATTAAAGCATTGGTCTCCCCCTTTCTAATCAAGGTCCTGGTGCCTTCTTCCACTTTCCTGGGCAAGAGCTGGTGGGCAGATTAAATCCCTAAGTCCAAGCTGTTCTTTTTTCTTGTGCTTGATCCCTCCTTCCCCACCTCGCCCTTTTGTAAGTTACTAATGAAAAGTCAGAATGTGCAAAAGTGCTCTGTTAGTTTTCTGGGCCACATTTAATTAAATTTGTCCAGGTTTTTCAGCAAAGCATCATTAATAAGTGGGACTCTTAGATTGCTGGCAGAAAAGTGGGGAGGGTGGCTACATTTCTTAATCCCTCTCTAGCCCGCCCTCCTGGGGGGCTAGCTTGGTAGCTTAGGAGCCTGGCTCATGGCCTACCTGGGAAGGGGCCTTCTGTATGTTTCTGCCTCACATCCTTCCAAGATTTGAGACAATGCCTGCAGGTCCATTAGGGTGGGAGATTGCTTAGGGAAGCTAGCCTGTGTTAGCAGCTGGGGCCCAAGTCCTAGGAGAAGAAAGACTTGGGCTCCCTGGCAGTTCCCCATCCCTGGAATTTTGGTGCTCAGCCATGCCTGCTCCTACCTGTAGGGGTGAGGGTTGCAGTCCCCTATCCTCTGGAATCGGCCCTGGAAGCTCTTCTAGGTATAGTATTCTTTTTTTCTTCTTTGAAGTTCCTCTCATAGGGAGGTGTGGGTCTCTGCTTTTCCATGTGCATGTACCCTCCCCACACTAGAAGGCTTACCCATTCTAATTGATAGGGCTTGGGGTTGGGCCTACATTGTCCCCAGTACTTAGGTGTAAATGTGTTTAGTCAAGTAGCAGACCACTGGATGAGACCATACTTGTCCTTGCTTTTCCAATGAGCAATGCACTAAAACTAGACAAAGGAGATGCTGATTGTTGATGGTGGGGCAGTGATGGACATCTAGGTGCGACTGGAGTGTCTCAAAGGGGTGGAGACTGGCCTCTTCATGTAGGTGCAGGTGGACACGCTGGAGGTCTAGGTACTGGGCATAGGACCTCTTTTGGTGGGGGAGGAATTAGTGTGGGAGCCAGGGAGCTAGGGCTCCATGTTTGTTGGACAGTGGTGACCCCTGCTGGCCAGACCTGGGTTTGAGTCCTGATGGGGTGCTGTGGGGTCTTGCATTGGGGTGAGTGGTGACTCCAGCCTCTCTGGGGTCATCTGCAGAGCTGGTCTCTGGGCCTGCCTAGACTGTTCCTCATACTACCCACTCCATCCTGCAGGTGATCAAGGCTGGAGTGGAGACCACCTGCAAGTGCCATGGCGTGTCGGGCTCCTGCACAGTGCGGACCTGCTGGCGGCAGCTGGCACCCTTCCATGAAGTAGGCAAGCACCTGAAACACAAGTATGAGACTGCACTTAAAGTGGGCAGCACCACCAATGAAGCCACTGGTGAAGCAGGTGCTATCTCCCCACCGCGGGGCCGGGCTTCGGGGGCAGGCAGCAGTGACCCACTTCCCCGTACTCCAGAGCTTGTGCATCTGGATGACTCACCCAGCTTCTGCCTGGCTGGCCGCTTCTCCCCAGGTACAGCTGGCCGCAGGTGCCACCGTGAGAAGAACTGTGAGAGTATTTGCTGTGGCCGTGGCCACAACACACAGAGCCGAGTAGTGACAAGACCCTGTCAGTGCCAGGTACGCTGGTGCTGCTACGTGGAGTGCAGGCAATGCACACAGCGAGAGGAGGTCTACACCTGTAAGGGCTGAGCCCCAGACCCTGCCAGCCCTGCTTACTTGGGGTATAGGCATTGCACGCAATGTGAGGGGTCTACACCTACAAGGGCTGAGCCCCCAGACCCTGGCAGCCCTGCCACATGGGGTGTAGGCATTGCACACAGTGTGAGAGATCTGCACCTGAAAGGGCTGAGCCCCCAGGCCCTGCCAGCCCTGCCTCATGGGATGTAGGCATTGCACGCAGCACGAGGAGTCTACACCTGTAAGGGCTGAACTCCTGGGCCTGATAAACCTCTCTGTATGGGGTACAGGCATTGCACGTAGTGCCAGGGCTAAGCCCCATAGGTCCAGGCAGCCCTGCTTTGTGGGATGTAGGCATCATACACAGCACAAGGGGTCTCTATAAGGTCTGAGGGGCTCTCCTAGCACATTGGGGCCCTGGCTAATTGTCTGAGTTCGCTGTCTCCCCTCTCAAAGGCCCAGAGGTAGGTCTAGCACCTGTCTTGCCTCTTCAACCACTCTGCTTGTGCTCTGGGCCTGAGCTTTCTCCCCCTGACCCGAGAGTGTTGCAGCAATGCTTTCTGAGTTGTTTCTGTCCCTGACACCCCAGTCCCTGGAAGGGCCCTTGTCAGGTGTCCAGTCTGTTGACTGCCCCTCCCTGCCTCCGGGCTCCCTCTGAGGCTTGGAGGACAGGTGTATCTTTATGACCACGTGGCTGCCCATGGGGAATGGGCCTGGCGCAGCACCCCAGCACCAGCACTGTCTTCAGAGAGCCAAACCACTAGGAGAGTGCAGCATGCTGTGTCTCTAGGGCCTAGCCGCCCAGATTCCTGGGCTTGGAGGCACTGCCATCCCTCTCTAACATTGAGCACTTCTCTTTGGAGTGAGTATCAGTGACTTTTAAATTATTATTATTTAATATAGTAATTATTATGTCCTCTACCCCCACTGCCTCCCAGGCTGTGGCTCTTCCCCCTGACATGCCCTGGGCTGAATGGAGCTGACCTGGGAGGCTCCCTCTTCCCACCCCTCCACACTCCCTCCTACTCTGCTTGCTTTCGTTTGAAACCACTAAATCAAGTTGATGTTGGGAAAGAAATGAAGCAAGCAAACCTGGCCATAGCCCAGAGGGCTTTGGAATCCCACTCCCCCACCCCTGCTCTGCCAACAGGGACTGCTTTGCACCCTGCAGACAAATGGCCCAGCATCTGAGTTTCTGGATGCAGATTATGGGGCTAGGAGTAGATATGGTGACAGAGGCCAGGCTTACCTTCAGGGTCCATCTTCTGAGGAAGCCATGCTTGCTTGGGAGGAGGCAAGGACATGGCAGACACATGTGCTGACTTTCCAGCCATTCTATTATCTTTGCAGGGAAGGGTGGCTACACTGACCTGGTTTGGTTTGAGTGTGTGTGTACATGTGTGAGTGTATGCGTAAGCGTGTGCATGCTGTGCTGGCATGGTCAGCATTCAGCTGGGCAATGCCCCTCCTCAGAGCACCATATGGTCACTCTTTGGCTCCCAGAGACTCCAGCCCTGGGCTCATCTGGGTAGTGACCCAGTGGGTGTGGACTAGGGTCTGGGCAGGCAGCAGGTGTGGATGCAGGAACTACTGAGCAAGGAGCTAGCCACTCAGAGCCCCAGGGGTCCAGGAAGCTGAAAGAGGACTATGTTTTTAAAAATAAAACCTATTTAAATGGATGTGGATCTCTGGTCCCTCTTGGATAGTGTAAATAGCAAAGTTTATTCTCCTGTGGTTCAGATGACCACTCACCAGGAAGTGAGTGTGGGTGGCACTGTGTGATGGCACCAAAAAGGCCAGGCTAGGGAGTTGGGTAGGCTGTTGGGTAAGAGGGCACACCCTGTTCTCCCCAGACATCTGCACCTGCTAGGGTGCTGTGACAGGACAGACCGGCCACACTCTCCTTGCAATACTGAGCTCAGTCACTGTTGGGCCTGGGGAAAGGTGTTGGGTCAGAGGAAGGATATGTATTTTTTTTAATCAAATATCACATTTAACTCTATGTCCTGAATATTCAGAACAATATTTTTTAAACAAGGCAGACTGAAAATGTCTGCTGGCTGGTTTGTTTCTATATAAATATATATTAGAATGTCTTGCTCAATGAAGAAGCAACTACTGCATGCTGGAACCTCTGTTTAATGTGCTTCTCTTTCGTGGGGCAGAGTGGAAGGAAAGTGTCCTGCTAGGCAGTGTAGAGTGAGCAGGGGTCTCTTCCCTTTCCTTGGTGTCCATGGTGTGGACCAGGCACCACTTTGCCATCTTCTCCCCGCTGGCCACCCTGGGAAGTCTGGACTCTGAGGCCTGCTTTTGGCTGGGCAAATGTGTGGGACACATGAGGGACCCGTCTTTGTGTGGAGTCTTGTGTGAGCCTATTGATTTCTCTACCTCATCTGTATAGTGAGTAGCTGTGTACCTGAGTGACTGCGGGGAATGTATTTATTTAACGGCTTTGTATAACAGAACCAGAAACAAATGGAAACACTAAATAAATGTATTTTAAATTATAGCAACCTCGGTCTGCTGCCTCCACAAGGGTTTGGGGGGCATGGGAGGAGATCAGAGAAGAAGAGGATATGGCAAGGAGGAGGACCAAGGAGGAAAAGGAAGAGGATGGGAGGAGGAGGAATAGGAATGAGTGAGATGAAGATCTGAGGAGGACAAGAAGGACGGCTGGGGAGGACGAGGAGAGTTCTGTGTGGAAGAGAAGGAGAGATGGGGAGTAGAAGGGGCAGGAGGACCTGGGGAAGAGTGAGAGGGTTTTAGGTAGAAGAAGAGTGATAGGAGAACTGGGGAGGAGGGGAATAGCTCTGTATAGAGAAGGAAGGGGGAAAGGGAGGATGGAGAAGGATGAGTACTAAGGAGAAAGGGATTGGGTGGAAGAGGAGGTCCTGGGGATGATGATTTGGGGAAGATGTGGACACAAGGTAAAGGTACTATTGCAAACCCTTGAGGTTCTGGTGTCCCCAGACTGTGTCTCTCTCTACCTCTTGAGTCCAGACTAGATAGTATCCCTAGGTCACCTTGAGGAAGCCCTGTCTAGTCCTGTGCCCTAGGGAAAGACCCTTCCCTGAGAACCTTCTCCTCAATTCTCCCCTCCCTCCCTGGCTGTGTGCTTGTAGCCTTTTCTGGGTCTGTCATTTGTCCCAGGGAACCTCCTGCCTTGTGTCTGGTGTTCTTTCTACATCATGCCCCTCTGCACTCTGTCAAGGTGGTCTTCAGGTACCCAGGCCCCCAGCCCTCCCCTCCATCTCTTGTTGGACCACACCCTGTGCCGACCCCACCCCCAACCTTGTGGCATACTCTGCTGGCACCTAACCCACCCCTAATAACTCTTCTGTCCTGTTTGTGTCTCACCCCCTCTGCCCCAGGGTCTGGCTCCCCAATAATTGCCAAGGGAGGGACTGGTCACTGAAGAGTGTGGGATTGTCTGCCTAACTGGAATACAACTCCCTTTCCAGACAGCACCTCTGAGAGGAGAGGACAGAGTGCATCCTGGTGCTGGACTCTTGCTGCAGCCTCTGGCCAGTGCCAGGCTGAAGTCCATGGGGCAGGCTGAAGTCCACGGGGCAGGCTGAAGTCCATGGGGCAGGGGCTCCTTTAGTTGCCCAGGACTGTGACAGGATGACTGAGGAATCAGGCCCCAGGTAGGGGGTAGAGAGGCAGGAGAAGAGGGGACTTGAATGGAGCTGTTCTTTCCTACGAGGGCAGCCAAAACTGAAGCTGAATCTAATCAGGAGCCAGCCTGGTAGGCAAGACCAGCCACTGTTCACAAGCTGGCCTACTCTCACTGGGCCACAGAATCCCTCAGGGAGGAGCTGTCTCTGGATACCTGATCTTCTGCCTTGGGTTCTGGTGGCCATCTGTGCAGCCCGGGTTCCCTGCATGTAGTGAATGCCTTCTGCATCCAGCTGGTCTTTTAGGATCGTGTGCACAAATGTGTGAGCATGTTACATGCATGCATGTGGCTGTGTCTGTGTGTGGTTGGGTCTGTGTATCAACAGGCATGTATATATGTTCAGAGGGGCTGTGTCTGTGTATCTGTGCCTCTGTATTTGTGCGTGTGTGAGTACCTATGTGTGTGTAGGGGCTGTGTCAGGTGTCTGTGTGCATGTTACTCTGTATGACTGTATTCATGTGTTTGTCTCTGCATGTACGCATGTGTGCACGTGTGTGCACCATGTCTGTGAGTGCATGGCATATGTATGCATGCATATGTGTGCACATGAGTTTGATGGGTACATGGTGCTGGCTGTAGCTCACTTACTTCCTGCCAGTCCTCTTGCCTTGAATAGTGGTCCATGGTGATGGAGTCTGACTCTGTCTCTGTCTGGGTTCCTCAGCTGACTAGCACTCACTAGCCCTGACCTGAGGCAGGAAGAAAGGCCTACCTTATCTGACCACTTTCACCAGGTAGGTATGGACATTTTTTTTTTAAGCTGCGGGTGCTTCCTAACCTACTTGGGTGGAGAAGAGACTCCTACGTAGTACCCAGAGGATAGGGTACTCACCCAGCACTAGCAGGGGTAAGGAGGACAGGTAAGGAATGGGCCCACAAGGCTCATAGCTACCTTGGTTAACCAGCCCCAGCAGGCTTTCACACCTGGACACACAGGTGGCCAGAGGCCAACCCAGGCTCAGCCCAGGCAGTTCCATGAAGCTGGGACAGGGCAGCTGTCTGGCTCCCCTTCCTCAGGGTAGACACGGGAGATGGCTGGGGGTTTAGGTAAGAAGGCACAAAGGTAATGTCTCAGAAAGGTCTGAATGTGAAGAGCAGCAGGAAGGAATTGGCCTTCAGGCTGACTTCAGAAACTGAGGATGAAGGTGGAGAGAAGGGGCAGAGGAAAAGGGATGAGGAGGGGAGGGAAGGAGAGAAAGGGAGGGAGAGAAGGAGAAGAGGAGGAGAAGGGAGAAGATGTAGAGGGGGAAGGGAGGAAATGGAGGAGGAGAAGGAGGGAGAGGAGGAAGTTGGACAGTAAGGCCACCCCCTTCCCCCAGTCAACCCAGGCTACAGCAGGCACTCGGTTGTCCTGGATGTGTTGTGCCATCCTGGGGACTATTAAGGGCCAACTATGTCCAGGTTGCACAGGGCAGGTGTTCCAGGCAGCAGTTGCAGTAGGGTGGAGGAATGCTAAAGGCAGGCAGTTATAAGCAGGGTAGGTGGGGGTCACTCTTAGCTGGCTGGCAACTCCAGGCCCACAGCCTCCCTGGGCAAACCCCACCCTGGGAGTCTTGCCTATCTGTGTGTGCTCCTTGTGGCTCCCCTCCACCAGTCCACCCCCTTGAACTGAGCTGACCCAACCCTACCAGGGAGGGTCCCTCCCATCCGTATGTCTCTGTGGCTCTGAACTACCCACAAAGAGCCTGAGAGGGTCTTGCTGCTGCCTTTGCAGGATGAGAAGTGTGGCTGCTGGTGCCCCACACCCCAGGGTGGTGTGGTAGCTGTTCATGCTAGGGCTCTGCCCACCTTGTCCTCTGTTAGAGACCCAGCTCCTTCCTCCACCCCACTCTCTGCCTTAATGCTTCTCCAGTGCCCCACTGGGACTTCCTCCACTGGGCCCCAACCTGCTGTCTGTCTCCTCCCCAGCAGGGTGTCTGGCCCCATGCTCTTCCAGAAGCTCCTCTCAGCCCTCTGAGCAAGGTGCCCTTCATGGCTGAGCCCAGGCTGGAGCAGAAGCCTGGGCCTCACTGGTCACCTTCTGAGAGATGGCCCTGGGTCAGACAGTACCGCAGGAAGGCCTCTGAGAGTTGTAGGTGGAGCCTTGCCGTGGGGACTGAGCTGTGTCAGTCTTGCCTGGGTTTTCCAAACCACACCTCCGGAGGTGGGGCTGGCAGTCACAGCCTCTTCTGGGCTGGGATCTCCACCCGACCAGGTGTGGGGTTGGAGTGGGGCAGCTTGGCTGGAATGTAAATGGACAGGAGTGGAGGAGGGGTCTAGCAAGTTGCCAGGGAAACAAGACCAAACAAACACTCCCTCCCCCAGCAGGCCTGGTGGGGGGCCTGTGGCAATGACCTCATCTGCCCACCCAACCCTGCTCCCAAGGCCAGGCTGAAGGTGGGGGGTCCTGGGCTGTTTGTGTTGGGCTCACATCCATGGAAACAGCTGGGGGCTGGGGGTGCAGAGCCGGTTTCTGCTGCAGTGGTAAGCCTGCAGCAGAGCCCGACCTCCCTCCTAGAGCTGGGGAGAAAGGGGCATGGAGAGCAAGAGAGGGGAGAAGGGAGGGAGAAAGGGGGAGGAGAGAAAGAGGAAAGGGAGGACAGAGGAGGGAGGTCTGGGGTGTGGAGAGACACCCTGCATGTGACAGTGGAGGGCTAGGGCCACCCCAGGGAGAAGTGCCCTGGGAGATGAGAAGAGTCCCTGTGTGAAGGGGCTCTAGACAGTAAGCAGGTAGACGAATGCTGCCAAGCTCTGAGGGCAGAGTCTGAATGGGCTGGGATGAGGCAAGGAGGCTCTGGCAAGCAGGTTCTCAGAGTAGATTTTCAGTCTAGGGTGACCTGCATCCTCCAATAGGGTCTCCCCCCAACTTTCTAAAACAATGTCTCTGCAGAAAAAGAGCACTTCACTGAACACCGGGGCTCATGCTGGTTATAGTCAGAGCTGGTCTTTCTCCCCCTACTCCTTCCCCTCTCCCCTTCCCCTCAGTACCTGTGAGAATTTGGAGACATTGGACACTATTCCCAAAGGATATTTAACATAAGGCATCCCTCACATACATCCCCATCAAATCCAGCTCCTGCAACAGCGTTTAGCTGTTTTTTGGTGTCCCCCAACCCCATTCAGATCCTCAAAAAATGTGCCCCTCTGGAGCCCTCTGATAGCATTCTGGCCAAAGAGCTGAGGTGAGTTCCTATGGAAAGAAGGTGCCTTCTCTAATGAGCTGGCAAAACTCTGCAAAGAGTATGCCCTTTTGCTCCGCATCACTTTACCCTTCCACCCTTTTCCTGTCTAGAACCCACAATCTGATGTCAGAGTCACAGCAGCCATCTTGAGGTCATGAATGTGAAGCCAAACATTAAGGATGATGGAACAAACCTAGAAAAGGTTTGTGCTCTTGCACTAACCTTTGTTTTTGGTGTGTGTGTGTGTATTTTAAAGCAAATGAACAGTGCCTCAGTGTGGCTCAGTGGTAGAGTGTGTGTTCAGCATGTGTAAGGACCCAGGTTCGATCCCCAACCCCCAAATACATAAATAAAATAAATAACAAATGAATGTCTGTTTGTTTGAGCTAGGTTTGGCTGAGTGAAGGCCTGACTCAGACGCATGGTCCACAGCAAGTGTGCCAGGCTAAAATACAGCAACATCTAAACTCAAGGATAGTCATTTCCATCCTGGCTTCCATGCCTAGCAAGTTAGTGTTCATAAGCTAAAAGTTTTCATTGACATGAAAATCATACATGCTTATGGGGGACCATGTGATATTTCAATCATACATATTGTGTAATGTTTGAATTAGGGTAAACATGTCTAATCTCAAACACTTATCATTACTTTCTGTATTTCACTTTTGATGACCGAATACTATTCCCTTTGTCTATTGATGGAAACTTAGGTCCATC